AAAAATTTAGAATAAAAAAATTAACCACTAATGTATATCCATAGTTAAAATACTTAAAAGTTTACTTTATCAAATAAAATTAAACAAGACAAACGGAAGAAAATAATTGAATTGGTGTTGAGGGTGTCCCAGTGATAAACAAAAAACCTAAACCAGTGGTCCAAATATTTAAAGAAGAGTTGGAGGATGTGATCTGTGCCCAGCATTATACAGACAATAAATTGATAGGGTGCAGAATTTAAGAAAGAAAAAAGAGGAGTACACATCATAAATGAGAGGTTTCAATCTTCCTTCTTTAATTAAATTTATGGCATCGGACAAGTGTGTGTGATTCAACCGTTGCCCATTAAATATCTCACATGAATTTTGCCTCTCCATTTTTTTCCACCCGTAGAATACACTTGATGTTACTCTCTCTTTTTTTTTTTTAAAGAATACATCTACATTATGTACATATCAATCAGTCACCGTGCGAATCTGAATCATACAGTTACCAAATCGCAAGATATAAATCAAATGTCGTTTAAAACTGTATAAATCAAATGAAAATACTAATATATATTTTTATTTTTCTAATAGATTTAATTTAATTTTTTAATTTTAAAAATATAAATTTTAAATAAAAATTTAATGCATTATATAAATAATAATTAAAATTTTTTTATTAAATAAAAATACTCAATAAAAATTATATACAAAATTTTTTTTAATTATTATTTATATACATTGTTTAATTTTAAAAGTTATATTAAATTTATTAAAAATAACTTGAGGAACTACTAAACTAAATTTATATGCTAACAAGACTTGAATTTAAAATTTAAAAATACTAGTAAAACTTTATTGGCTCATGATATTATTTTTCTTTTCACAAGATGGGAATGGAACAAAAATGCCGACAGCATCCTTTTCAGAAAACCAAACTATGCCGATAGCATCCTTTTCAGAAACCAAACTAAGGAAAACAGGGTAAAAAAATGTCTTGACTCTTTTGAGATGACCAGAAATACCCACCAAAGGACAAGATCCAATTCACATAAATTAATTAGCATGCAACAATAGGAAAGAGTAAGACTACTCTGTCCCTACTAAAATACTGGTTCCTCTTAATTACCCTTTTCCCTCACTAACTCTTC